AACAAGGGCTTGAGCCAAAACATATTGTTTTGGACAACATCAAATTAACAAACGTGCAAACTGAACTACAAGCAGCTCTGCAGAGACTGGTGCACATGCCGCACTGACATGTATGTGCACTCACAAACCCCGGGCTATGCGCGTGCTGCTACTACTACTACTACTACTACTGCTACTACTGCTACTACCACCACCACTACCACCACGACCACGTACTGTATGGCAAATTTGTCTGGTGCGTTCCAAAGTTTTCGTTGTGACATGATCAATGGCACCTGCTGTCGTAGTCGTGTGTTGATTTGCTGGTTTGGAGACTTTCAAATCCATCAGCTAAGGAAGGTGTTGCGGGAATTTGCATACTTCACTCGCATTTCGGACGAGGATTTAGAAAAGGAGCGGAAAGTTGTCCTGGAGGACCAGCTTCCGCAGACGCAAGATGTCGCCAGGATATAGGAATGGCCTTCCTGCTCCTCCTTGGAGGAATGGCGTGAAAGCAGGAACGCCCAGGGTCGCCTCAGTGAGCGGTACATCCAGGCCGCAAATTGAGGGGCGTGTTGTGGGTGGCAAGTTCGCTTCGCGCTTCTTCGCTAGGCGCTGTGTGGTGCTGGTTGCAGATATTGTGAACGACTTCCAATCGGGAAGCTTGGAGCATGGAGATTTGTAGGCAGAGGTTGGACGTTCCGTTGCAAAGGAAGGAGCACATCATCCGGGAGGTGTCATCCCAAACGCTTCGACGCTTCTATCAAAAGTAACTTGGACCGAATTTGCACAGATGGATTGCATTCTGTCCACTGTCCCGGTGATTGTCCAGGGTGCAGTGTGTTGGTCGAAGGTTCTACCATCCAGCATGTATGGCTCTGGTTGCCGTCGGTGACTTCGATGCACCTTCTGTGGAGATGCGAATCAAGGACAGAATCAGAAGAATGCAAAGACTGCCGCCGCTTGTTGTGTTTTTCTGCAAGGAGCTCTTCGACATTCTTCCAGAGGACTCCTGATTCCCCCCCTTCGACGGTCCAACAGATTAGCCATCTTCTTGCCTTGCTGCCGAGGACATTTCTCCACTGCCCCGATGCCCGGTGGCTGCAGCACCTGAGCGTCCGAGGCATGTTGACATCGCCGTTTCGGTGGGGCGTGGGTGGAGGGAGGAGGTCGAGGAGTGCCGGCAAGGCGGAGGTGGAGGCAGTAGCAGAGCGGCGCCGGAACAGCCCCACGAAAGAAGGGGTTTTGGCAGAGCTGGGAGCCAGGCAGTCAGGCTTCGCTTTCGCAGGACGCTGTCCAAGCTCGATGCTTCTGGCAGGTACACCGTGCCAAACTCTGAGGGCGTCCGGGACTTGGCAGGTCAATGGGCTCGATGGCTGTGTTTCACTTGTGTTTTCAGAACTAGGTTCGTGTGGCCAGCAGCACAGACCCGGAGCTCAGTTTCGCCCAGAAACTTGGCTTAGCTGGATGTGGCGTCGCATGTTATCTCATCCTCCATGCAAGTGCAGAGCTCAGGAGCATGATCGATTGCAAGCGGCCACGTCTTCTGTCCTGTTGAGTTCCTGATTTTTGGGTTTAGTTTAAAGGGGCTTGTCCAGGGCAGCTTGGGCCGCCGGGAATGCGCAAGACCGGGCGGGCATGCGCTCCGCGGTCCTGTCTGCATCCTGACTTACAAACAAGAGCCAAGAGAAGAGCAACATCCACAAGGGGCATGGGCCATGGGCCTTGAAACCATAAGCACCCAGTGCCCAGAGCTAGTCTCATCACCTAAATTTCTTCCGTGGCTTTGAGCCGAGCAGATCTGGGTAAGATGGGGTGCAAAAGGCAAGACAGTCGGAAGTTGGGAGAACTTAAGCCTTGAGCTAGCATGGGCCAGGGATTAGTTTGGCCTGGAAACGCAGGTGATGGCCATGAGCAGTGAATTTCAGAAACGGCAGCTGCAACACACAAAGTGTAATAGCAACTGCTCGGATCGAAAGATTCGGCAGAACGCCGGAGCCCATGTATGCTGCAGGATTGTCATCTGTTCTACCTGGCAGGTACACCCGTCCGCTTTGTCCGTGATGTTCGCCGGCGGATGACGGAGCGATGGCAACAACACTAGAAGCCCTTAATATTCCTTAATGCATGATGAGCCGTGACTTGTCATCGCGGTCCTACACAGATGTCCCCCCTAAGGAAGACCTTTTCCACCGCGCCTTCAGCGCAAGGTTGCTGAGGCTGACCTTGCAAGGCCCTTTGGAAGGAGAGGGCCGAGGTTTAAGAGCCGTGCAGAAAGAGGGGCCCGGGGGAGGCTTTCAGGTTGACATCCTGACATCAGGAGGTCCGCGGGACTTCTTCTCTGCGGGCACGGACACCTCGGACCCCTTGCCCGCCCTGACAGGGCCTCGGTTGGAATTTGAAGCGGAGCTCTGCGGTTTCTTCCGGCTGCTGGCAGGAGCCCACTGAGCGCAAGCCTGGCACCACTGCCGGGTCGCGTTCGCCCAGCCATCGCCAGCTTGCTAAGGCCGCTGCGTCCCGTCCTGTGACCCTGTCGCATCCGCTGATCTGCCGTCCTTGGTTTCAGGGAGCTCGAGCGCATTCGCCGATTTGGCTTTCATGCCGCGGAGGTGGCATGGGCGGTGCAGCCTAGCTGGCCTAGCTTCGCTCTCCACGGCTCAGCAATCAAGCTTGTCTTCTGTTCTCGGGTGAATGCTGTAGGATACAGCACGACTAATGGCGCATGTCCTCAACTGACACATTGAGAGCTTTCTCACTTTCAGGTAAGCCTCTATCTAGACCAGTTGAAGTGAAGCTCAGCTTCAGCTGAAGTGTCGGATTGTGCTTTTCGCTTTGCTCGGCAGGTGCTGCGGGCGAAACGATCCATGCTTGCAGAGTTCGAGGAGGTGGTGTACGGGGATGTAAGGGGAGAGCAGAGGGGCAAAGGGGCGCAGAGGGGCGCAGAGGGCAGAGGGGCGCCAGCGCCCTGCAGCGCTGGGCAATGCAGCGAAGCTTTCTAAGGTTGCCCCGCCGAGAGCCCGAGAGCCTTGATACCTGTGGCCCCAGCTCGAGGGAGAAGATCTGCCCAGCTCTTGAGCCTGTCCTGAGCTTTCTGCAAATTTACTTTAGCCTTGTTCCTTGAGTCTGCCTTCCGACAGAGAAGCCGGCAGCTTGGAACTGGTCCTTCGGCGAGCCGGCTGGCCTCAAACCAGCTGCAGAAAGCCCCGCAGACCAGGGTAAGACGAGCCTGACGGAAGAAACGAGGCGCCGCATAGGTTTGATTTCTTGATGGCAGGAGTACATTGAGCGGGAGCAGCGGCCATCCGATGGCTTTGCAGAAGAGCTGACTAGTTTCTTTTTGGACGAGGAGTGTCCACGCCTGGCCAAGTCTTTTGACAAATGTGCTTGAGAGAGGTCCCTGCCTGCTCCGAGGACCATGCTCCTGGCGTAGAGGATCGTGCGCGCTTGGCGTCGGTCTTGCTGCCCCGAATATCCTGCGAGGAGGCAGCGGCTGTTGAACGTACAAGATCTTCTCTCATTTTATGGTGCTGGCTTTTTCCAATGGGATGGCTGATGCGTTCACGCAGTCGCATGTCGCAGGTGTCAAATGTTTCGAAGTTGTATATCTTCGAGGACAACGTCGTGGTGAAAATTGCTTCTCCATGGCAAGAAAGTTTAATGTGGGGGCATTGCCGCGCCACATCCTAACACTTGCAGATTGTTGGCTGGTGGATGGCACGGGCTTTGTTGTAGCAAGCTTTGCAGGACGGTAGGGCCGTGAAGCATACTGAGGCCACCCCGTTGATGTCTCTTCGAAGTCCGGCATATACTGCGTGGAGTACTTTGCAGGCCCTTCGAAGATCCAAGTGGGTGCTTCCGTTGCAGACACAGCGCAAGAAACACCAAGTGTGTTTGAAGGCAATCTAGAGCTGGGTGGAAAGGGTCAGGCCATTGTCCGAGCAACGGTTTACGACTGCAAACGCTCAGCGGAGCTTTGTGTCCAGCTTCAAAATCCCGTCAATGTAGCTTCGTTTCGATACGGCTCAGCCAGACAAAAATAGTCCAAAATTGATATCCTCGAAGTTTAAGCCTGAGAAAATTTTTGCCTTTAAGATATTTGGTCCCCCATCAGTCCGCGGCTCCCAATCCTCGGAATTCGGCAGGGTGTTCAGTTGGGTAGATGGGAATGTGTCCACATTTTTGGTGAGTCCAGGGCTACGGTAGAGTTGTAGATACTTGTATACATGACTGCAGCGCCGTTATGCTATCTGGACGATGTTGCGGGGTGAAGATTGTGGGATTGACGCTACTGTGATGGTAAGTGATGGATTGGCTTTGGCACGGCCATGAAAGGAGCACAGCGAAACCCAATCACAGTAAGCGTCGAACAACTTGTCCCCACAACGACCTATCTGGTTGATATGTCCTTGGTTTTTCAATTGCAAAAAAGCAAAATTCAGCAGGTTTTGCGTCAAAGGGTTTTGCGAGCCATTCGAGAAACCCACGGAAGTTGTGTCGGCTACTCTCCCTCATCGTTCCCAGACCCACAGACTATGCGCTTTGTGTGGGAGCCTGTGACCCATGGGCTCAGATGTGACTCATGTGACTTTTCTCGACGGGCTACTCGTTTGAAATGGAAACAGTAGTATGACCTGCAAACTGTCGAATGCCATCCTTCCGCAATTCTGAATGGGCAGCTCGTCCTACAATGCTGGCCTGGTCGTCCACTGGTAGCTGTCAGGAGCCATGTCTAACATCCCCTTAGGGCCCTTGCAAATGGCCGAAAGAAGCTTGCTTTGGTTCTTGGCTGGGTGTTATCAAGTCCGTCCTGGCCAAGCATCTTTGTCACAATAATGGTTCTTGATCGGGCCAAAGCCCTTTCGCAGGCCTGCCGTCAATTTCGCATTCCGCGACCTTCCCTGGACTTGCCCAGCGAGGAGAAGCACGAAGCTCCATGCTCATGTCGTTGGCACGTGGCTTTTCGACGAGAGTGTTGATCCTGTCCATCAGACAGTCAGCCGGTCGGTCTGAGGGCCGCTGAACACACGGGTAGGTCGGCTATGCAGCTACGCACTGCCAGCCCTGACCAACCTGCTACATTCCTCGCACTGCCTCTTCGCACTAGCAGCAGCACTCGCACTAGCACTGGTACCAACATTGTTAATATTGCTCCTGCTACGCAGCTGCAGCGGCAACGACAGCAGCAACCTACTGCAGCTACTGCTGCTGCTCCTCCTCCTGCTCCGGCTGCTACTGTTGCTGCTGCTGCTGCTGATGCTGCTGCCACTGCCACATGCCGTACGCTGCTATGCGCAAATCTTTCCTCGAGCTGTGGTGCTGCTGCTGCTGCTGCTGTTCCTGCTGCTACTGCCACTGTAACGAAACGACGACGACAACAACACCAACAACTGCTGCTGCTGCTGCTGCTGCTTCTGCTACTTCTGCTGCTGCTGCTGCTACAACTGCCACTACGTACTGCTATCACTATTGCTCTTGCCAGCTCCCAGTGCTCGCCGCTTCGGACATTTTTTCGTGCTTTGACTGTCGAACAAGCCCTGGGCATCATCTCTGGACCGTCGCAAAAGATCAGTGGTTTCTTGCTTGGACTAGAGCCAACGTGCTTCCCGAGCGAAGTCAAGCAGTGAATGACCCTTCGCCTGGTTGAAGCTTGAGGCTGCTACTGGTAACAAATTGCCGCAGCTGGACAACACTTAGCTTCGTAAGCTTGCTCACATCGAAGATTTTGGATCATCTGCCAGCATTGACATGTTCTGTGCTCTGCACATAACCCCGCGATTGACGCTGCGCACAGCAGTTCCCCTAGGCTCTCCAACCCAACCCAATCCGAGCGCAAGTTGACAGAGCCTTCGGAATGCCAAGTTCAACAGACCTGACTGTGCACCCGGCTCTTACAAACATGTTTGTGATGTTGCCATTGTCCATAAGCTAAACAGATCGCACAGCTGTGCAGTGCTGAAGTGAGAGCATCGAGAGAGGAGTTTCACACTTCCAAGCGGTACACAAGCGTCCGCTGATGCTTTGCGAAAAGATGCATACTGGATTTTTGGGACACCGCAAACTGCGTGCCTCATCTCGAAGGCGCATCACAGTGGTAATAGTGCTGGGACGACAACCTGCAACCACGTCGAGCTAGCCCGAGGCCAAAAAAGTAATGTGCACAGAAAGGCCGACTGTCAAGAAAAACCCTGGCCCCCAATCTCATGTACTCAAGTCATCCTCGCTTGTGGGCATAGATCCTTAGCCATGCGAGAGGGAAAAAATCTGTCATGTTCGTTTCATGCCGACTTGCACCTATGGATCCTCGGCTGGCATGAGTCCGAGTTGTCAGAGCATAATTAATCACGAAAGAAAGATCACAAAGGAGAGCATTCGAAGGGCTCCGCTCAGTGAGACTCGGAAAGTGTCCCAGGAGGAGGTGACTCAGCTCATGCAGGCTGTGGCCAAGGAGCAGCTCAAGGACCCCCCCCCCCCCGCATCTTCGGATTTGACGGGAAAAAAGGCAGAGCCAAACGGAAAGGAGAGAAGTGCTTTTTGCACAGGCGTGGCCAGCAGATGAGGATGATGTCGTTCTCGGCTTGGACAGAGTTTTCCATGGCACTTGTGTAGGGGAGGCTTACAAGCACACCAGGATTCACGCTTGAAGCTCCTCTTCGACGCTACTGCTTCGGACCGTTTGGCGAGCATGTCGCAGACCAGGCCCATCGCATGAAGATCCGAAAACCCTTCTCCGGGTTGGGTTCTCGTTGAGCGCTCCAACGCGAGGTGCGCAATATCGGACAGCTGTCTCGACGACCTTTCAGGTGGTTGTCGGGCAGTGCACCGGAGCGGAGGATGTTTGTGTGGGCGGGGGCGGGGTGGCTAGACCGTGGGCGGGTGGGGCTTGACGCGAAGGATGGTTCGAAGGAGCGTGGCCGGTGCGTGGGTCGGGCGTGGACCAAGGTGCGGAGCGCGTGCGAGCTGGTTGTCCGAATAAGGCATTTCAACAGACAGCTCCACTCTCGGAGGCTCGGAGGTTGTCGACCTATCGCCACACCTAGATGTAGTCTTGATGTGCCTGAAAGGTGCCTATACGCATGCACACCGTCGAGATAGGATCCAGTCAAAGTCTTTGCGCTCGTGAGTCAGAAGTGTCCCAAACTGTCAGGGCTGTCAGGCTGTCAGAGGAAGGGGGGGGGGGGGTGTTGCTGCCTTGCTGAAAGCCTTGCTGAAAGCTTTCACCGCTCGCAGGCGCCGCCAGGCAGGGTACGTGAGCGGTTGGTCTCGTCTCTAGGACCCTGCGCGCGCGCCCCCTGGCTTTCAGGTCCAGGCTCGCGGGGTGCCCACTGCCAGCCGCCGGAGCAGCACCACGCTGGCCACGGCCACGGCCACGCCTGGATCACCCGACGCAGACTTCGGAGAGGCACCGGCACCGACATCGACACGCCACAAGCAGTCGATGTGTCTGTCCGTCTAGGAGGTGATCCTTCAGAATGGCTTCAGAGTGTTCCTGAAGGACTCCTTGCAGAATCACGGCTTATTGATTTGTGCTAGACTCTTGCGAGACTTATGCTCAGGTTGCGAATGCATATCTTTGGATGTCCCCGGTTTTCTTTGAGAGAGCTGCAACGACAAGAACTTGGAACTTTATGCTGCGTGTCTGCCATGTGCGCACGGCGTTGTGAAACCATTTCAGGCTAACAGAACACTTTCGGGGCGACCGTAGTGATGTCTTGCCGTGGAGTTCAGATAGGGGCAGTAAGGGTATCTCGGCAGAAGTGGCTCGAAATCACAGCGGCGCTGGTTGGACTGGTGCTCTTGGATGTATGCCAATGGACTAGACCAGGCTCACGCAGATGCAGGGTACCTCGCTGCACATGTTTCACCTTGCGCCGCGGAGGAAGCAGCGATTCGGCAGGCACTCCGAGAAAGCACCGCCTCTTCAGCGTCTTTTTCCTCTGTGCGTTCCATGTTGGGAGCCGAAGGACCTTTCGTACCGGCAGGGCTAAGGAATTCTGGGAATTCCTGCTTCTTCAACACTCTCCTGCAGGCACTCTTTTTCTGTGCGCCCCAACTTCGACATGCTTTGTATCAACTGGACGAGTCTGGCGCACGACCGAAATTGAAAATGATGCGAGACCTCTTCCTAGACATGGAAATGGGACTAGCGAGTGCCATCGATGCGGGCAAGCTCTACGAGACTGTCTTCGAGAGGCCGGGAGAAGAAGCGGATGCGTGTGAGCAGCTGCAGCGCCTGTTCGACGTCGTCTTCGAAGGGTTTCTAAGCGGCGGCGGAGAAAGCGGACCTTTGGCAACGGTGGTCCAACTCCTCTTTGGAGGCGAGCTGCATGAGCACGCGGTGCAGCACACGGAAGTCCCCACAGAAGTTCGCAAAGTAGCAAATGGCCCGGTCTTCCAGCTGGACCTTTGCGTGACAAGGCCTCAGTCCTTGCCGGAGCTCCTCGAAGAGCACGTCGAAGAGCAGGCAGGGGGGAGAGGGAGGCGATCCTATGTGCTGCCAGAGGTGCTGTGGCTGAACTTGGACCGCTTTCGCTTTCACCGTCGCCTGGCGAGAGGCGTGAAGAGGAGGCTCCGTGTGACCTTCCCAGAGAGACTGAATGCCTGGATGCTCTCGCCCGACCTGGCAGAAGTGCCTCTACAAGAGCGCCGAAGCCGCCGACTTCTGCAAGCAGAGCTGGCACGGAACCGCAGCCTCTTGCAGGACCGCAGCCTCCTGGCCCTCGAAGGCACCGGAGCTCCGGAGGAGCTCCTGTGGATTGCGGAGCGCCAGGAGGAGCTGATGAAGCGCTTGAGAGAGCAGGCGGAAACTTTCATGAAGCTTGGAGAGGAAAGGGGCTTAGTGTACGAGCTGAAGGCGGTGATTCTACACCAAGGCTCCCTGGAGACCGGCCATTACTTCGCGTTTGCGAAAACCTCCGCATGGTGGTGTCTGAACGATGCGACTGTCAGCCTTGCCTCCTTCCCTGTGGCCTGGCAGAAGCAGAAAGGTGACAATAGCTTTAGGTTACTTTAGATCCTTCCGTGGTTCTTGCATGGCCGTGATGCCGCCACACCTTCCAGGAGATGCGCCAACTGGCAGAAGGACGATCGGAGGACATCGAATCTACCAGTGAGGACGAGGCTGATCGGACTCATCCCCCCTGTGAATCGGGCAACAGGAAAGAGCTACGAGATCTACCGGGGATGAAACTCGTGCCAAAGAGCACGGAAGCACGCTGCCTTGTGTACACTCGTGCCCAGAAGCAGGATGAAGATGGGCTCCTGAAGCAGCAAGTCCCTGCCACGCTTCAGGAATGCATCGATTCGGCGAATCAGGACAGCGGGGGATCATTTCGGATAGCATAAGTAAAGACAGAGCTGTTGAAGATCTCGATTCTGTACACAGCTTCGACAGGAAGTTCTGAAGCTTGCTGTGGATCAAGTGGTCAACGATTTCGCTGGCTTGGTGGATCGCTTGAGCTCGGGTTCAGCAGAAAATGATGATGATGACCTTCTCCCCACTGCACGCTGGACATGTTCTGAGGCTGGCATCGAAATGGCTTGGGCCTATCTTCTCCGTGCCTGCTGGCGAAAGCGGATCCCTTGGCTTCCGGAAGAGCTCTGTCCCACCGCCGATCCGCCGGACTTCCGCATGTACTATGGCCGCCTCTGCAAGCAGCTCCTGCACCAAGCCTTGGCGAGAGCAAGCGGAGCGGCAAGGAAAGCGCTCCCCTTCCTGGTCGGTTCCTCTGGAAAAGACTCGGATTCGGATGCTTTCCTCCCCCACGAGATGCGAAGCTGGCTCGCGGAACGTGGCCTCTGACAAAATGAAGCTGCTCAATTGCCGTCTTCCTAAGGCTACATAGTGATCTGATTTCTGAGTCTTGTCAGGAGACGGATTTGTTCGAGGATGAGATCTTGGTGAAAGGTCGGCGTTGGGGAGGACTCTCCGAGTTTCAAGATGCTCGCCTGAAGTTCTTGGCCGCTTCCGAGAATTGCCAACAAAAAACATTCAGCATTGCAGACCTGAGGAAAGTGGCATGTTCAGTGGAGGCAGGCTCTCTTCCAGCAATACGGGGGGTTTTCTTTGCAGACGCTGCGAGGCGTCAGCTGCGAGGCGCAGGTGAACTCCATGTGCGCAGCTTCCTCAGCCTGCTCCGGACTGACACTGTGCCTTGGCTGGGCGGATCCGGAGGCCATGATGCTGGGCATCTGCGGCTTGCCCGCCGAATCCATGCAGGCTTTCCCCGCTTTTCCTCTGGGCCTGGGCCTGGCTCCCTCCCTCTCTGTCGTCTTGAGGAGTGCCTGGAGGGTCGGCGAGTGGATCCGAGCCCGCCCCATATGGAGGCCGCGAAGTGCGGCCGGGGAAATTTGGGGCGGAAAGTGGACGCATGGCCAAAATTGGCGGCTCAAAGGCTTACACCACCTCCTTGGATGCTTCCTCTTCGCCGGCTGACTTTGAGGCAGACCTACGCTCAAGGTGTCGTTTTCGGGTGCGCGCCTTTTCCGTCTTCATTTTTCTTTCACAGGTGCTTCTGACCTTGCTGGCGCTGCTCTTCCTGAAGCCGGTGTCGCCAGGTCAGGGAACCGCAGGGAGGCCAGGCTGGATTCATTTAAGACAATTGGGAGCCTTGGGCCTTGAAGTCCGGTTGCGAGTCGCGATCATTGCTCCTCCAGACTCTCCTTGGTGAAGCTGGGCCTCCTGGCTTGGCGCCTGGCGGAAGACCGAGATCCGCAGAGCCCCGGGCCTAGAAAGCGGGGACGGGGCCGGGGGGGGCCCTTTGTGTTGACATGGTGCAAGACCTGCCAAAGGCAAGTTCCGCCGTCGTATGCAAAGTGCCATCACCAGCAACCATCCGTGCTGGTCTTACTGACTACAATTGACAACCCCTTTAGCTTCCCCATCTCGCATCTTCAGGTATACTTGGCTGCCGAGCTGCTGGGTGTGCACTTTAGTGACCCGTGAACGTGGATGGTGGGTGCCTTCAGACACCCCATTAAACCACTACTGAACCCAGCAGCCCAGCGGAAAAAACGCAGGTTCAACCTGTCTGAGACACTTGCGGAGCATGCTTGCAGCATTCACTGGCACAAGCATGTTGACGAAGGCCGCAGCAATCACAAATCACAGTATTCCGTGACAAGGACAGGTAACTAGTATTGGAGTTGGGCCCGCGGTCCGTGGAGCAGAACACGATTTGCTTCTTTTTCTCACAAGGCCTTTTTGTTTTTTCCCCCCGGTCCATGCTGTTTAACGCCTCTCTATGCCGCTTTTTCTCAAATGCATCTTCTCTCGCTGTGCGGGGTCCCAAATGCCTCTTTGCTTTCATGCCTCTATCCCCGAACGAAACGCTTCTTGTTCCTTCTCCATGGGGTCACCCCTCTTTATGTTTCTTTTCCAAAAACACTTGGAGTCACTCATGCCTCTGACAACACGTATTTCCGGTGTCTTCTTGTCCCAGCCGGTCCCGCAGGTTCACGACAGTGAGCAACCGGGATCGCCAGGCAAGGGGGGGCAGATTCCAAATGAGGGGGGAGCTTATTGAATTGCTCATCCAGGATCCCAAACTGGGGGTCCGGATGGATACAAGAAATCTGATCAAAAGCAAAGGGATCGCCTTATGAGAGGGCGGGTTTCCGAATCAACCGGGAACGTCTCAGAAATCGGCAAATGAAGGCGGTGGGTTTGAACAAGTGTGCAGCCGCATTGGCTTTGTAAGGGGTCGGGCTTAAGAACTGTGTTCGATCGGAGAGTCAAATGAAAATGAATTATGAAGTGTTGCGAGTCGGAATCGCCAATGATGTAGCTTCCAACGGCCCTGCTCTGGAGCAAGCCGCGGAGATGAAGGCTGAGGCTCGTCATGTAGCTATCTCGGTCAGATCTACAATATTCCCATCCGCGCACACGAAAGCCATGTCGACGCAGTCCATCAGAGCAGGCTTTCGTTCGTTCGCGAGAGTACGGAAGCCCTGGTCGCGCAACTGAAAAGCGACGTGAGTGTGCATCGGAACAGAAAGGGCAACAAGTACAGGCCGGCCGGACGACCGGGCGAACCCTGGTCAGCCGGATGACGAGGACAGAGCTGAGGCTGCAAGGCCTTTGCCCACCGACCATGAGAGCTACTCAGCTACTCCTTCTTGACTATCAAAGTGGTTCGTGACCGGAGAACACCCCCAGAGATCGTCGAGCGGGGCTGGTGGGCCTGGGGTTCCGAACCTGAGGACCATGGAGCCAGGACTTGTTCGCAGCGAACTCCTTGGCATGACGCATGGAAAAGGCGCTTATCAAGACGCCAGGGCGCTGGGCAAGGGAAAGAGAGTCTGAATGGAAACGACGCTTACAAATAAAGATGTGGGCCGCTGCTGGGGGTGAGGCGATGCTCTGGCGATGCTGAAGGCATAGGCGTCAAAGATAAAGGTCCCAATCCGCCCCGCGATAGTAGCCTACGATGGTTTGCCAGATTGTAGCTCCCGGTTGTGATAAGCCATATGGGTAGTTCTCTAAATTGGGGTCCCTTTTAGGGTCCTCTTTATAAGGGTGCCGTATTATATTGGGGACCCAAAAAGGGAACCTAATTTCGAGAACTATACCCATATGAGTGTGCGATCCGTGCAACATTTTGCAGCGTTGCAGTCCTGTGCCCCTTGTATGAGGCCCGTGGGGTATCACTGCACAGAGAGCCATGCGCATTAGGCTTGTGGCGGATCCTGCGCTTGAACTTCCGGATCGCCTCCCAGGCGACGGCAAAAAGCTGTAGTTGCAGGCGTCGGTCGTTACATGTTGATGTCAGATCTTCAACGAGCGCGCGTCGATGCCCCGCGAGTGGACCTTGGTGCTTGTGGGCCGATTGCCGCCTCGAAGCGAGCTGCTGCCGCTCTTGGCCTCTCGGATGTCGATTTAGCCGAGCGCGGTTCGAGTTCGTGGTTCCTGTTGTTTTTGTAGCAGGCTTCGTGCAAGCAGCTTCTATTTCGGTCGAGCTGCAAACGGTTGCGCTTTTTCGCTGAAGCTGTGAGTAAAGCAAGTTTCGCTTGGGATCCTTGCCAGCTTTGTGCAAGCCTGCTTTTGAATCGGTTTCGCGGGTGGCGTGGAAGAAGTGCAGTGGTTCGCCGACGCTCTGCGCGTCGCCTTTTTTAGTTGCACAATTTTTGCAACGGCTTGATTCCATGTCCGTAGGGTGACATGTGACATGCTGTTTCTTCGCGCTGCCACAGTTGCCGAGACTTCCAATGTAAGGAGACTTACTTGGGCAGCATCCCGAATGGGGAGTGTCTTGGCGAAAAAACGCCAGGCGGCGAGAGCTCAGGTTTGCTGTCATTGCACTTTAGGAGCGGTGCGAGCAGCCAGCGCCCCGAAGATTTGCAGATGCGGCAAGCGGTGACTCCTTTAGAAACGCAGCTGCACGTTGGGGCATCGTGAGCATTCTGAAGCATTCTGAAGCATGGTGTCTCGCAAGGAAATCGAATTTCCAGCCAAATCAGTGCGAGAAGATGTGCACCTGCACATGGTTGAGCCAAAGGCCAAAAGATGCTCGAAGATGCTCCTTAAGTCGGGGCTTCTGTGCATCCAGAACTGATCTGCAGGGCAGTACGGTTCTGTGCTTCCCGCTGCAGATGGTGTCGGCTCGTTGGACTGCAAATCTGTCACAGGAAGTGTCGGCTGGCTGGGGTCCGAGACCTTCGCTGAGGTGTCGGAGGCCGAGTCGGTGGAGGCTTGCTCCGAAGAGCTCCGAGAGCTCATGCGGCTCCAGTCGCTCGGCTATTTTCGCCGCTTCAGCGCTGCTTTGGAGCCAGGAGCTCGAAAGCTGTGGCATCCCCCCTGTCTTTGAAGGCTCTTGGTGCGGCTCCTGGAGACCCGCCTGGTGGAAGTCCTCCGCTTCCAGCGTGGCCAGGCCTGGTGTGCCGTGGCACACGGGGCCTTGGAAGCGCTGTTTTCAGCATCCTAATTTGCAAAATCTACGTCTAGCAGTGCCGGAGCCAGACGAAGTTTGAACTGCCGATGGCTAGGCACACAGAGATTGAAGTGTGAAGTGAACAATACTAGTATAATACTAGTACAAGCTATACTTCGACCAAGTGCGAACTACTCATCTACACAGCAACAACACGCTGCGCGACAAATGCTCGACAAATGAAGGCCAACGTAGCTCTCTTGTACTGCTCTCGCTGACATTGCACCTCGTGTTATGATGCACCTTGCAAGACACAGTGCCCTCTGTGTCTTCGAAGCTGTCGCATGGCCACCCACGAGCATCGTGCGTCTGATCCGGAAACATATTGGTGACGAGAAGGACATGCGGGGCTGGCCTCAAGGAGCTGGCAAAAGAAGGGCCGCCGAGCACGGAGCAGAAAGGGGCCAAAAGGCACGGGAAGGAGAAGCCATCGCAGCCCTTGGAAGAGCATGCGGTCCCCCCCGAAATCAATGACCATGACGGCCATGGAGCCCGATGAACATGCCAGTAGCTTCATTCTTCGAAGGCATTGTCAACAGTCGTGAATGTCGGAACATGCCGCTATGCCCCATTGCAGCATGTCCAGGACAACGGACTATGCATGTCAGTCGCGGGACCTAATCGTACGACAAGACGGTCACCAAACTGGTTAGCGGGTGTTTGAGAACCAGAGCGAAGACCCAGCCAGCATTTTCTCAGTATGAAGAGGTCGGAGTCGGTTTTCCGCGAGACTCCGAAGGTCCATCGTTGACCGCATTGATGCGTGCATTGAGGTTGCGAGGGTTCACGGGTCAGGGCTCAGCCCAACGAATGCTGTCCGCAAAATAGGAACATGGTGCATGCCGTTTGCTTGGCCGATGGCTTGTGAGCACGTTTCAAGCTTCTGGTGCGAAGTACGGAGCTCCCATGAAGGATAGCTTCTTACCCTAAGTTTCGTGCTTGGCGTGCGGGCTGGCGATTCGTGATGTAGTTCCTTACGTACAACTGCACTGCGAACGGATTCAAAACAAAACTGAGGTTAAAGATTCCACCTGCTGCATCTAGAAGAAAAGAGAACCAACACAAGTTACCAAATCCATCCCGGTTCTGGGCCAGTCTGGGGTGGATTGGAGGTCTACAGCGTGTCCGTGGGCACTGACCTTTCCTTGGCCCCACCGCAAATGGGCAAACCGCGCCGCGGAACATTGAGCCTCTCGGAGTTGTGAGTTCATCTCTAGGCCCCCTTATGGGGTTTAGAGGGTTTAGGCTCGGTTTAGGGTTTGGGGTTGTTTTGGGCGTTTGCTGGAGCCAAGCGCAGGCATCAGCTTCGAGTGCGACCCGGCAGAGTCGGACGAGTTGGTCGCAGCGACACAAGCGGCACGGGACCCAATACGCCTGCTTGTTTAGTTTAGATGTCCTTGGCGTGCGGTACTATGCGAACGCTTCCAGTGTTGAGGGGGGCGGGGTGATGCGGGGTGTGTCAAGACCAAGCTTGATGCTAGAACTTCGTTTGCAGATGGCCTTGTGGAGCAAAGCGGAGCCTCCGGATCCGATCTGTGTCGTAGTCTGGCGTGTCGCTGTCACCATAGCCCAGCCTGAAGAGGCTCTATAGGACTGATAACCACAAGTAGGGTGAGCCGCTGCGTACCGTATGCAGTTTCTGAAGCGTCGGGGAACGGTACGGGAATTCCTTCCGCAGCACGCTCAAGCTTTGTATGTTCATGCATTGGTCTTTCGAGTTTGGAGTGGGGTTTTTGCCGGTGCCCGTTGCCCTGAGGAGTTGGATTGCCTGAAAGACGGAGCCTCTTTCCGCATCAAGTTGTTGCGCTCTCACTCTCTGCAGTCGTTTGGAGTTGCGACTCGCGCCGGCAGGCTCCACAGAGTTCACGGAAGCAAATGTTGCAGCGGCGCTGGAACAGGTCAGATGCTATGGGCCGAGCGTGGAAGGGTTTTTGGTCTTGCTGGCAGGATTCTCGCGAGTTTGAGGAGCTGATCCACACCAATGGCTGCCCTGCGGGATAGAAGATCCTGTGTTCTGCTAGACTGAAGGGCGATTATGGGCTCTACTGTGTTTGGTTCGACTCGTGATTCAAGCTAAATGGTGAGAACTGCAGTGGGTGTACGATCCGAGGTTGGTGGGCTGGCACAGTGCTGGACCTCTATTTCTCCCGTTGCTACGTGGCTTTCGGGGAGATTGGCCAGACTTTGTCCCTTTGGTGGACCTGTCGGCAGGAGAACGGGGCCCGCATGTGCAGCGAGAGGGAGAGAGAGAGCGACAGCAGAGGTTCGGTTTCGTCAGTGGAGTCGAGGCGGCTTCCATGTAGGGTTACAGTGATGTGGTATGGCAGAGTGAAAACAATGTTGGGGGGGGGGGGGGGATCTCCTTATGTCTCGAGCAAGCAAGCAAGACAAAGAGCGCTTTGGCTGCGCGGCACAGAGAGGATAGCGGTCGACTGTTGAGCTTGGGTGGGTTTGGGTTTCGTGCTTTTTGTCAGGTTTCAAGGTTAAAAGCTCCAGGTTGCGGGAGCTTCTGTTTAAGCCACAAAAGACGGATCATGAGCAGCTGTCGTAACGCCCGAGCTGCGCACCAGTATGTAGGTTGAACACTTCACCGGTTTCTTGCGCAGCAGAATTTACCAGCTGAAACCTGTAAATACTTTAAATAACGGTGGTTTCAAGACTCTTTAAACAAGGTAGCTGCGCTTGCAAGGG